AGGTGTTGAAGGGTTCCTGCTGGGTCTCCCAAGGTTAAATTCCCCAATGATGAACTTGTCCCCGGATCTGGTGGAGGTGGATCTTGGTCATGGTCCCCAGGGAAATGCACAACGAAAGCCTTCTTGACACCTTTCCCTTTGCCGCCATTGTCCTTGTCCTTGTTGGACGCGGTGCAAACTGAATCACCTGCCCAATGTCCAAGCTGTCCGCAAGCTGCGCAGGTACTTGTTCTCTTGCTCTCTTCAATCGTCCTGGGACGTCCGGTGAACTTTCGCCCAAGGACGGTGGATTGCAACTTCTTCGAAGTAACAGTGAAAACTGTTGCCAAAATCTTGCAGGTCCTGATTGTCATCATCATTTGCTGCATCATCACCTTGCTCAATGTCATCTGCTTCCTGTGTGCCGTCATCGCCGAACTCTTCAGCGTCTTGGAAATCGTGGTCTGATGCCGCCTGCTCTTGGTCAGCTGATTCCTCACAAATCTGATCCATCTCTTCAACCTGGTCAGTCTGGTATACCCGTCTCGGGTAATTATTGTCCTTTGGACGAGGACCGATACAAAGTCGAAGAGGACGCAGTGGTTGATGAGCCATGTGAAAAAGTCCAAGGTGACGATGAACTGCTGTGGCCACCAAATCCTTTGCCTTTGCCTTTGTGTGGTGTCTGTCCAGCTCCAGCCAAAGGAGGGCTTGGCTTGAAGTCTGGAAACTGAAAGTTCAACGATTCGCGAACCTTCTCGAAGCCGAGGGAATTGCCAGCTCCTATCAACACCAAGCGCTGCAAGTCAGGTGTCAACCTCGATCTCTCCAGGAAGCGGTTTCCACGAGATTCAGCATCGTACATTGCTGCCGCGCTGATGCCGATTGCTGCAAGATCCTTCTCAATCCTGACATAGCAATTGGCAAACTGGCGAACTGACTCATTGTGAAATCTTGCCACATGTTCGTAGTCAGACAACAACTTCCTTTTCTGAAACAAAAGCTTCTGCTGTAGCGGTTCACGCAATGCCTCAACAAGGTACTTGATGCCTCCAGCTGAATTCACCTTAGTGAGGTCAAGGTGTTGTGTCTCCAGCTCGGCTTCACCTGACAGCGACGTGAACGGCATAAGTGCCGCATCCGACGCAGGCATGAACGCTGCAATCTGCAAGGACCAAACTTCGACCCTGCGCTCCCAGCGTGCAAAAGCTCTCAAGTCAGAACTGTTCTTCCACTGCGGCGGTGCAGGAGGTGTACCGCCACGCCAACGAACTCCTCTCTGGGGGCCACGTTGTGAATTTCATGAACTCTGACTGTTGTCTGCTCGAGTCTGATTGGCAACATTTGGCAACCAATTGCGACAGAAGTTCAACAATGCGGGTCTGGTTTGCATCTGAAAAACTTGTAACATGCTGCGCCGACTGTGGTTGCTCAACATACTCAACATTACCTGGCCTCTCATCGGCCTCCGGTTTATTGCCACCAGGTCCACGCGTCCGGCGTCTTCGACGAGCTTGAACCAACAATGCATCAGGATCGACGACTGGGTCTGTAGTGTGTCCTTCACTGTCCTGCGTTTTCTTCACCGGCATATTCAGCGTCTGAAGGCGGAGGCTGTGGTGCAACTGGTGACTGACGTAGCTCAGAACCAAGCCGAGGAACATACATCCAACATCATTCGGCAGTCTCATGGCGCCGAGGCTGAGTCACATCATAAAAATCTGTACTCTTGCACTGCACACATGTCCAAGCCTGAAGGGAGGTGTCCCAAGACCAATCAACTGAACCGCACTGGTAGCATTGCCACTTCAACGAATCCCTGGATCGGAAAATCTGTGAACCCATCCGATCGAGGCCGCTCCGTCGATTGCAAGACACGTTCAACAGGGGGTTCGGAGTAACAACTGCTCTGCTCATCTTCCCCAAACAGATCGAACTCCCGTTGGCCAAAGTCGGTGTCGTCCCAACAATACTCAACAGAAGGATCAATGTCCGGCAGATGGGTAAACATAGCAACCGAGGCTCCGGTGCCAACTCACTATCGTGCGTGCTGCGACACAAAGTGCAAAAAGAATCAACAAGCCATGGCGAAAAACGATCGATCGAACAAAGCGCAAAGTGAAAAAGGGGCTCCCTTTTACGCGAACTCTTGGCCCAGTGCACTACGGTCGACCATGCATCAAGCTCATCCGCACGAAACTTCACATATATTATATATTAGATATCTTATGATATCTTATCTAAAATCAGCAGTACAGGAATCTAGTGATGACTCAATCAGGTGAAAGAAGCACCAAAGTTACATCCACCACCACCAACAAAACACTGCCCATAGGCACCATCTGTCACCCCTTCGTGACAATTTGCAGTTAAATCTCCTGATTGTGGTCTGTGCCACGTGCAAGGCCCTACACCGCCAAACGCCAGCTGTTCGAGGAGCTTGTTGAGTTGAGCGCCTACTTTGACGTAACACCCCAATTATTTAAGGTCAAGTACATCGAGTTCGGGGAGTCAAAGGAGCCACTAGACTTGCGAATCTATGCAAATCTTGATTTGATGTGAGGTGTCAAAACGTCTTTTTGACGTGCTGGTGTGGCTGCAGGTATGAACTTCAATTGAATGTGCATCTTTTGCACCCATGGCAGGTTTCTCATAGTTTGTCCCAATACGTAGACTTTCAGCAAAAGAGATGTTCCCCGCCTTGGAGCTAGAGGAAAGCCATAGCCAGCGGCCTTAATGTCGCAAAAAGGAACGGCCCGCTTAGCTATGCTTAGCTGCTAGCATTGACTGCAACCATAACAAGAGCCTTTTCTGACGTCTTTCGGACTTCTACCTCTGCAGGAGCCTCCTGCATAATGCCCCTAATGCTTCACGCGAGTCATCAGAAGGCTCCCGACCGCGCTGAAGGGTGTTGCTGGAGTTGCTGAGGCGCTTCGTGACATGGCCTTCCCATTTTCTCTAGCGACGCGAGGCTCCCACAGCACAGTAATTAAGTATATATATATAGATCAAAGAAAACAGCACCGCCCCAAAACCTCCAAAAACGGCGGCTGTGCTACAGTTTCAGTCTTCTGCAAAAAAAAGGCGGGGAAGCGTATAGCCTTGGTACTAGTAGAGAAAGTTCCTTTACACATGCCAGTACTTTGCCAACATGCTGCGGTTTTAGGAGGTCGTGGCTTCTATGCTGCTTGGACAATGAAGCAATCTGCCAAGAAATGCGCCCCGCCTGACGCCCGGCTGCAGCCCAAGCAGCCGCCGCCTGGACTGGATGATCACGTCATGAAAACCCTCCAACTTGATCCACTTGTGTTGGTATATGATATGTGCTAGGGCTAGGGGTTCAAGGAAGCTCCCCCCTGCAACCCTGTCTGGAAGCTTCCAATCGCTTCGTACTTGCTTTTTAGCTCTCGTCTTACCAGCCTATCCCCCACATCCCCCCGCACCCAGAAAAAGAAGGCTCCCCGCAGACTTGAAAGAACGCAATCACTGAGTCTGAGACCATGCTCGTGCTGGTCTTCTCTGGTGCACCTGTCGTGCAAAGCAGCTTCGAAGATTTTGTATCTTATGCTGCCTTGCGTCCAATGCTGAACGTTTTTTTTAACGCATGCCGCATGTTCGTTAATGTCTGGTTGCTTCGTATTGCTCCCATGAATCATGCATTAGCAAATCTTTGCGGTCCACCTCGATTCTGGCCTGGCTCACGAGGCAAAAGGGTCAATGACCCTGGTGTGCTCATGGGTGAGGTCGAGCGTCTCCTGGCGAGTGGCCCAGAATGAAGGGAAGGCTTGCAGAATCAGTGAGGGCCAAACGCTCGCTCTCTTCCGGTGGTTGAATGCATGCTCAAAACACATTAGCTATCAACTTGTTTCTTTGAACAGTCATAAAGTCAATAGAAAAGCTCTCTGCAAACATATGTCTGTCACAATACTAAGTGATCACTTCCGTAGATCATCTTCCGTGAAAGGTGATCCGAGTGGGTCACAGCTTAGACGATGGATTCAACATTGAGCCTAGACGCTCAGGCTTGCCAAGTTCAAGGAGCAACTGCATCATCGTGGTGCAATTTGGCTAAGCTTCTGACACAATCACTGATGGAGAGTGGACATACCTGCAGAAACCCCCAATGGTGGAGACCAAACACAGGCTAAATGCCTGTGACACCAAATCTCAAACAGTTCACCAAGAGCCCAAGAGCTAACAAATGGCATCATGTTGTTTGGAGATACATGAAAATTGTTTGGAGATACATGTAAAATCAATCAGTGAAGGTTAGAAACCAAACGGGTGCCTACAGCTACCAGCATGGACTAACCTCTCCCGCACGTCATGCCGGGAAGGGGAACAACCAGATTGGCGCCTCGAACGGGGTGTGCCAGTCCTCACAGGCCAATGTCGCGCACGTCTTTGCACCATTTCCGCGAAAGAAGACAACAAATAGTAGCTTCTTGTTACTATATAGTAGCGTTCTTGCTCCTAGTAGTAAGGCCAGGAGCCCCTAGTAGCGTCCTTGCTCCTAGTAGCGATGCCCTTTGCTCCTAGTAGCTATTTCCACTAAAGAAAACAACAAATCCAATAAGGCAGGAATAGCCAGCCTTAGGGCCTTGGTGCTAAATTCAGGCGTACTGCTTGAAGAGAGTGCTACACTGACACACACCGGTCTCATGAAACACATCTGTCAACTGCCAGCCATTGTCACATCTCCAAAGGGATCAAAAGCAGTCTACAGTAGCACCGCCAGTGATCCACATTCATTTTCAGATTCTCAATTCTCAAGCCACTCTAAAACGTGTCGAGGCATTCTGAGGTCTTGTCTCAAAGAGGGCACCTGCAAAGCAATATCGGAGGTGCGTTTTAGTCGACCATGGAGCAAGGTGCAGCCAAAGCAGTTCCCTCATACAATGTCAGACTAAACTTGAAACTTGATTTTTGGTTGTTTTTAATTTAGAATGGCGTGATTGAAACGTATGAACTCCTTGTTTGTGCCGTTGCTAAAGAACTGATTGAAGCAGCTTTTGCCCGCTGGCAAGGTGGCATTCTCTGTCTTACAAAGGTCCGATCTCAGGCAAAGGTTCATAAATATGAGGGGGGCACATCCATTTTCGCGTCAACAACAAGCAGATTCTGGGAAGAACCATGTAGATCGACCAACCTGACACCTTCTTCACCTTCCAGAGGCCCTCTGGTCAACAGGAACGAAATCAGCCGCTTTGGACATCTCACAATGCGCAAGAAGGCACCCGTGTAAAGCGGATGAGGTTGCATTGAATCAAACTAACTTGTGACAATGTTGCCACCCCCACCACATCAGCTCCGTGTCGTTCATGAAACAGCCGCGCCGCTGGATTTTGTCATATTTGTCATGTTCTTCCCAAACTCCTTCTCCCACATAGACTGCACAAAGTCGAACATCGGTCGCACATTCGCACTATCAACGTTCTTGTCTGGGTGAAACTCCACCTGCATCCTCCTCAGCAAACTACGGCGCTCGCTGGAACTCCTGCACCGTGCCAGTTCGAGAGTCGCGCGGACATGCGAGAGCTGCACGGTGCAAGCCTGCCCGACTGGACCTCGAGGCTCCGGATCCTCCGGTATGTCTGCCAAAGGCACCACAGGCGGGACCGCTTCTCCAAAGTCCTCAACAGCGATGAAAGGGCCCAGGGGGGTGGTGGTGGTGACGTAAAACATCTCGGGAAGCAATGAACAGCATGACAACTCGTATACACAACAAATCGACAAGACTCTTAGTGCCCAGTTAAGTCAAACAGAAGAAGCCTCCAGTCAGACCCAGTGGACATTTCAATGAAGAATGCAACATGGCTGGAAAGTCCTTCCAAAGCGGACACCACGAGTTCAATTGTTGAAGATTTTCAGCTGAAAGTTTGCCTTTCTTCTTGACGATTCGAAGATTGTCCACAAAGCGCCCCAGCACGCGCTCGCTATGGTCATCACTCTTGAGCCACGGAAGCACTCCTCGTTTCTGAAGAAAGTTCTGCAAGTTCCGCAGGTTGGCCTCAAAGGGCTCCAGGCTGGAGAAGCCAGTGAGGCCTTGCCGTTCTGCTTTGCTCTTCCTCGCTTTGGGGCATAGCCACTTTCGGACCTGGGCAGCTGCTTTCATCTGCTTCGGGGAAGCCTTTTTATTTTCCGCCGCTTGGGGAAGGGCTTTTTGGCCAAGCTCATGGATCTCTCCAGAAGACCTTTTGAGAGAAGTATTCCACCAAACACTTTTGTGATCCCAGCTGACTGTGTCCGCCCGTGCTCTTCGGTACTCATCATTTTGTGGCCAGTATCTGTCAGCTACATCTAGAAGCTCACAATAGTCTCCTCCTCTTAAGTGGTCATCAGCCGCACACATCCAGTGGCGTGCTGGATGCAACCACAAGTCAGCCGGTTGTGTTGTAGCAATGGGACCAAAAGGATCCACTGAAACCCACAAACCCAGGCTTTTGTCAAAGCACTCTACCCAAACGGACATGAAAGACCTCATCACATCCTCTTCGAGGTCACAATCTCCACTCTTCTCACTTTCGCTTGCCAAATCCAAAGCCGCCTGTTGCTCCATACCTCCTTTGGTGAAATTGTGGCAAAGCTTCCGGGCTTTTGGCCCAAGACGACACCAACGACGTGTCAAGTCGACGCCGGGCTTCGCGAGCTCGAAGCCACGAATCAGTCGGGCAGGAATCTGCACTGCTCGGCACAGTGCCGTATAGCAGATCGCCACGTGCAGTGGGTGTCCCTTCCCCAAGCGTGCGGCTCTGTAAGAACTCGCCAAGGCTGGTAGTTTGGGCACACAAAGATCTATGTCAAAGTCGACACTGTACATGACATGTGTAATTGAGACAGGTTCCTGTAGCTTGCCACCGTAGCGAGAAAGCATAATGCCCTGCAACAAAGGGTCACTGCAAAGACCATTCAAGTAACGAATATGTGCCAGCCATCCTAGCAGTTCGGCCTTCTGAATCCCGCGATGCATGGCTAGGTCGGGCATAGGAGTGGAAGACATACACTTTAGATCTCCTTTAGCCTGCTGAGGGCCTGCTGTGATGTCGGACAAAACATGGATTTCAAGGATCGAACAAGAAGATGGAACTGTTAAAGCTTGCTTGTCGTGTCCAACTGTGCCAATGGGTGAGCCATGATGCAAAAACCAGGGATATGTCCCCGGTCGAGAGCGCTAAAAAAATAACAAATCACGTCAACGGACTCGCCCGACTCGCCCACTGGACAATTAATTACAAGGAGCTGGCAGCTCCTTGTACGCTGGTTGAAGCAAAAGATACCACTATGGCATAAGTGGAATAAGCAGAAGTGTTAATAGGGCACAAAGGATACCGATCAATCACGCAAAACACCAAGATCCCAACCCAACAGCTCCTGCCGCTTCATCCGCCTGGTGAGGGTGATCTGCTTAAAGGCACAGCAACGGCTCCTGGCCGGTTTGTCCGCCAGTCACCGAAACCGCCAGTTTCCAACACCCATTCCGTAGACAGGTCATGTACAACAGCTATGTGCTTGATGTACACCTGCATTTGCACCTGTCACTGATAGCGTGAAACGCCACGTCATTGTTCCGATCTTCCGAACTGACGGGGTTTTAATTTACTTTGCACCATCAGACTCAAGCCTGCTCTCACCATATGCCATATATATATATATATGGTGCTCCAAGTGACTGGGACTGGCACAACCCTGGCCAGAACAGCCAGCAAAAGTCCTGGACACGCGATTGGCATCAATGGGCCTGCGACTGGCTGTCATGTGGCGGGGGGCCAAGTATGGCTTTATGAGCGCAGGAGATCGGCTCACGTCTTCAAGCAGGGATGGAGCACACAATTGCACACATGTCTTTGTGGCTGTACGTCACTTCTTTCAGTGTGTGTGTGTGTGCGTGTGCACACGCGGGGAGGACAACACGTGTCAGTGCGTAGGTACTTTTGTGATGCACCAAGTTGCACACTGGGATGCAGTCAGTCTTAAGAAACAGCAAGTCCTGCCCTTCTTGGAAACAAGGCCCGAGTTACAAGTTGCGACCTTGCCAACGCATGGATTAACACAAATCTGAAAGGTCCATCACGAGGACTGGAGGCACAGGCATGCACAGGCACAGACCTGGACCGCCCGCCTGGGTAGAAGGATCTGGGCACCGTGGGCACCACAATGGGTACGTTCACGCTGGCTGGACGCACTTCCACCAGCCTGAGGCACAGGGTATGAAAACCCCCGAACGGATCCCAAGCCGACAAGAACTTGTTTCTAATAGCTTCTTGTTACTACTAGTAAGACACTTGTTACTAGTTAGTAGCTTCTTTATACAAGCCGACATTGTAGATCTCCAAGAACTTGTATGATTTCGACTCTGCCGTCTGAGAAGTGACTCATTTTGTCGCGTCTAAATAACATCAGTGAACAAGAAAGACACACATCAAGCACATGCACCTAGGCTGACGTCCCATGAAAATAAACATGAGAAACGTGTGGTGAACTTCCTTGTGTCAGTGTTTGGGGTGTCACTTGGCCTCTCGACTTTCGTGCTTCTTTAGCAGAATGCACATGATTGTAAGCAATAGGTATCCAGGTATCCTGTTTTGGGTTGTCCCATACCTCTTTTCAATTGACACTCTAAATGACAGTCCTGGATCTCTTGCACACAATGGAATGGTTTAGAACATGACTCCTGCTCTTGATTGCAGAACCTTACTTCGCTAGGGCCCATTGCACGGGAAGGCCTTGGTGTGGAAGGGCTGCGGGCGTGAGTGACCTGGGCACAGACTGTTGACATGTCAAAACTCATTGATGATTGATTGCCAAAGTAGCAAGAATTGACACCTGAGTTGGGAATGATTGACTCCTCTGGTATTCACTCCTCCGCACAGTAACAAACAACTGACAAGATTATATACTGCAAACTATTTGGATGGACGAACTATATCGCTTTTTTCCATCTGCTTCCCCCAACACACAGTGAGTTCTTTATCAGAGGTTTCACTGACCACCCCTGGGTGATCCTGGGTGCTTTGGCTTGATTATGCTTGATTGCTTGGTAGTTGGTAAAGGCTCCCCATGGCCCAGGGAGAAGCTACTTCACAGATCTAAGCACAAGGCTGCCGCAGGTGCTGCTGAAGCAGTTGGGGTTGATGCTGCTGAACTTTGACTTCTCTGCAAGCCTGCACCAAAAAGGTCAGCCTCATGTGTGAACACATGGACCCAGGCAAACAGCAATTTTCACGGAGGTCTACCAACTGACGGAACATACACGGTTACAACATCCACCGTTACACGGAATTGGCCCAGAAAATAGCAAAATAAAAAAAAAAAAAAAAACTTCTGCCCAAACCCACCGTGTGCCTGGCGATGCCTGAGGCCACGGAGGACTTTCACTGCTGCCTCGTGCCTTGCAAAAAAAGATAGGTATGGCTTCCAACCTATGTCACCTCTTGCCACAAAATGGTCACTCGTGTCATGAGTTGCCGAGTCCTTGGTGTTGAGGCCTTCCAGTTGAGGCCCTCCCATAGATTGAAACATCTGCAAAGTCTTACAGTAGTTTTGCCGTTAGCCCATTGCATCCTCTGGTCAGAACAACAAGTGCTTTGAGAATGGTTGCTTTCCGTAGCAGGAAGCCTGCTACATCCAGTCCAAGAAGATCTATATCCATATATACAGTTATATAGAAGCATAATTATTGAAATAATGCCCCGATTGCGCTAGAATCCCAAAAATCACTGGCAACTTGTTGGATGCTCGAATGCTTCGTAATTACTGTATCACCAAGAACTGCATCATCAGTAATTAACAGCATTCTGCAACTCACCAATCCTCCATATGTTTGTTCCGCAAAGCCCGGGGCTCAGTTGCTTTTTCCTCACGCAGAGGAGACGCGCTTCCGTAACTCTGCGTGGCGCGTGGCATCTGCTGGCAACGGAGCTGCGGGTGCTTGCGGGGCATCTGCCAAGACCTGTCCCGTGGCCCGTTGTGTTCATTATTCTAGACCCAAATGATTCAATCACAAGAAGTGCATGGGTACCCCACCTGTTGCAAATTACAACTACCAACATGTGCATACAGCACACACATGCACAACATCATGGCCAACAATCACCTTTGTCCTTCCACAACCTGCGAAATCCTTTGGGCCTACAGCTTCTCAGTAGAAACAGGTGCGCCCACAACAACGTGCTGGATCGATGTCTGCGGATGTCTGTCGTCTTTTGGGCCATGTTGCAGGATCGATGTCTTTGGGCCCCAAACTTTTGAACTTGGAGACATTCACCTGAGAGATCACAACAAAGAGTCTGGCATGGCCAATTCATTCCCTTTCAGACCACAATTTCAGGATGGAGTTTTCGGGGTAAGCTGCACAGAGTTGAGCTATTTCCCTGCCATATGCCACATCGGCAACTTGGAGTGCTTGCAGACTTGTTTCTTTCCCTCCACACTGGAGAGGAGCAACGAGAAAATTTAACCAACCTCACAACAGCTCACACTCTGGTGGTCTTCCCATGCCGCTCGCCGGTCCAATCTGCCAAGCAACCGGAGCGCCCAAATGAAGTCTCGCGATTGCACCTGAAGCAACTCTTTTAAACTCAGGGTGGCGTTGCGGCTCAAACGCGTTCAATTATTGAATATCATTGAATTGTCGTCACCCAACCCATCCTTGGATATCATGAAAGCTTCGGTGCGGCCGGCCTGCCAGCAGCTTGGAAATCTCGATAACTTTGATGCGGCTTTCAAGCCCTGCCGCTGCCAACCTCTGCAAAGCAGCTGTTTGATCCACACTGTTGGTGACCGCCAGCCATTGCAAGTTGCAGTCCTGAAAGGCATATCATTTGCTCCAAGATGGTGCCCACTGACAATTATAACTATTATACAGTATACACCACAACTCTGCCTGACAGTTGACACATCTACTTCAGTGCCTCTGGCTATCTCTAGCTAGACTCTAGCTGCACAATTCCCAGCATGGGTGGCCAGATGTATGACAATTAATTATGCAAGCTTGCGACACTTGCGACAAATGCAAGTGAGTCAAGCAACTGTCCCCGAGCGATAAAGCAAGGACCAAGGATCTTGCACCAATCCCTTGACCTTTTCACCCGCATCTCCAGAAAAATAGCCATGGGGAGCAACTCCGTAGAGATCCGCTTTTGGCAGGAGAAGATGCAAGGCCGAGCAAACTTCTACCAGATTGCCTGGGAGAGCACCATCTCGGCAGGATCTTCACAACAATGAGACCCCCCCGACATACCAGAGCTACCAAGTGCACGCAATTCCTTCTACATGACCAGCAAACAGGCTAAGGCACCACAAGTGTCAAACATGTCATCGATGACAATGACCGTGGACACAGCTTTTAACTCGGAGTCCGAGATGATTTTGACATCTCCTGCACGCTGTTGCAAAAAAAGGCAACACCCAAGACTAGTTAGCCGTCGGCGAACCAACTCAACTCAACTCGATTGCCAACTAGGGTATTTTAGACAATTATTGATGCTGCATGCTGCTGCTCAATAGTCTTGTCACATATTATCAGGTAATGTATGGTAATATAGTTGTCAGCCAGTAATCAGATTATTCAGTAATACAGCCTCAAGACTCAAAACCCAAAGTTCACATCATATATAAATCAAAAGGCCTCGTCCGCCACCCTGTTGTCGGAAGCGGTCCGCCATGATAAAGCCCACACGAAGGATATCTGCCATTCCTTGGGAGACGCCGATCAATGACATGCAGGACATATCAGGCGCATTAGACATGCCGTCAAACTCTTAAACTTAAAACCATGACACGCAGTGTGGCACCAAGAAGCATACGTTTAAGCCAGTCTGAGCATTTTGTCCGTGCCCCTCTTGCACTCCTCGGGCACGTCTCTATAATAGCAAGGCTTTCAGGCAAGACTCTTCGAGTGAACTTCATCCCACCACCATTGGTGGCACAAACGACAGTGTGATCTTCATCGAAGTTTGTCACGTTGCGCTTGATGAAATCAGCTAAATAAACATCTGAGCTCAACTCGTCTAAGACCATGCCAGTTGGGCCTCAATCTGTGGACTACCTGACCATATGAATGTCCATGGGCAACTCCGTAAGCGAATCAAGCGATTGCAATTTATACAAAGCAATGGGTCAAGAGATTCTTGTGTTTTGATGACGATAGTGTGATATAGTGTGTAAGTCTAACATGCTCGTGATCACCCCGCCACTGCATGGGTTCTTCTCATGCAGCCATCCAACAGTGAGATCTTAAACAAAACATAACAAAACAGTGACATGGAAAAAGAAATCGTTGTTTCCCAAACTCCCTAGGCTCTCGATGACCGTGACCAAGCGACTGAAGGCAGCTTCAGCTTGGTTGTGCAAGTCCACAGTCAGGACGCGGGTGGCACCTGCTGTGCGGATGCAGCGCAGTAACAGCTTCGGTGCAATCGCCTCTCCCGCCACCAGTTTCCGGTCTTGCCGAGCATACTCGAGGCCTAGGCCAATGTTGCCGCTAAGTTGGAGGAAACAAGGGCATGTCAATGTCATGTGGCAAGGAGGCGAGAGGTCCAGGATGTCAAGCGTTTACAGTATGGATCTTGGTCCTTTAAAGAAGCCATGTGGGTGTTCGATAACTGCCCAACTGAACTGCGGATAGGAATGATTCAAGCAACAAAGGAGCCGATGGGAAGCTGAGCTACTGTAACCTGTTTCGTACACCTCTATACTGAACCTAGATGCAAGGCATCACCACAGTGAGGCGATGCGGGGACTCTCCTCTCAAGGCATCCACCGTGAGCAGCAACCGCATGAGCGAGAAATTCAGCTCCGACATCGCATCATTTCCTGGGTATACAAGTAACGGCTCAACTCCCTCACAATCCATGGCCCCGGCTGGTTAAGCAAGGAATTTGCTGTGGAGTAGTAAGGATAAGGAGATCAAAAACCATTACTACAACTGCCAATGTACTGGCCGGTGCAGCCAAGCTTCTAGCAATCACGACGAACACATCATGATTTGCCACGGTGTGCAGTATCTTGGGGCCGATTTCGCCGTTGTCGAACATCTGAAAGGCACACTCCCCGAATCGCCACTTCAGGTGCGACAAGATTTCCCGCATGAGCTCCTCACTGCCTGGTAGACCAAACAGCACCGGTGGGTGGCCCAACGGAATCCGGATTGACTGGAAGGCATCCTCGGGGCCGTCGTCCTCATCCTGAGAACGATCTGCACATTTGTATGAATCCAGTGCTTTTTGAACAGGCATGCATACGCATCGATCTAGTGGCTGGGTCTGAGGTGTGCACTTTCATCTGCACACTACACCCTGAGAGGCACAAACGTGTTGCTGTGGAAACACGTTCGTGTTGCCACCGGCAACAACACAGGACACCGAAAACAAATGCAAAGCAGGAGATGCAAAGCCGTTCCAAACTGCCATTATAATGTTTGCATCCCTAATTATGCATGCATCTGATTGATGACATGTTTACATTGTTTACATATTATAATAAGAACCGATTATTATATATGCAGTATATTTATATATACAGTAAATTATGCAGTATATATATATATACACTGTCTTCTCTGCAGCTACGACAACAACCCTTTGAAAAGCCGTTTATAGATACGCGCACCATGTGAAGCATCCTTGAATCCATGAATCAGCATCCTTGACCCTTCAACGACCCATCCGAGTCCACGGTCAGCTTTCTTTTTCCAAAGGTTTTACCATAAGTCATTGTCTATGACGCACTTCGGTGAAGTTGTGCCAGGACTCGTAGTCCACATCTTCATCCGACGAAGCCATCCATCTGCCCTCAGCTCGTTGGCTCGATGAGCCTTGAGCCGTAGCTGCGGCGCTCCATAAACACAGCTACGGCATCTCCTCCAAGATCATGCAAAAAAGACGGATCAAGAACATCCATCTGCATCTGCATGACCATCATGAATCTGGAAGGCCAGGCAGTAAGGCTCTGCCGCTTTGTAGAACATCGTTGCAAAAATCCGTCTCCATACTACATGCCCCCTGGAGGTGCTAAAGAGTCTAGCCATGTCTAGCCCTGACAAAGAGTGAAGCCTTCATACGCTAATATAACCAGCTCAAAATTGGAGTCCTGGGCCCCTGAGTCTTCAATAAACGATCAGCACAGCAGAACGACAACTGACTCACACCCTCGTCAACCAAACTGCCTCCATGATGTTGTCCAAAAATCGTTCAAAATTGATATGTCATGAACCACCAGTTTTTGGTATCTAATTTCATCCCTTCACTCCCATGCAAACAGGAGGACCGCATTCCGGCCTCAGACTTCGTCGGCTTCGGCGTCGCCATGGCTTGTGCTGCGGCCGCCTCTGCCTCGGCCTCCGCGGCTTGCCACACAGCTGTGGCCGCCGCGGAGATGGCGGCTGCGACCTCGTGCATCGACCGTCTCAAGTCCAGTGGTCTCCAAAACCATCGATCTGGCCAAAGGGCTGGAGAGGGTTAGTTACTAAGTGGAATGGAGTTCTTTGGCAGATGGTTCTCGCAAAATGTGCGTCGAGAGGAGGTGAGATTGGGCAGGATTGTAGCTGTGTAGTGTTGCACAGAGTGTACCACATCGTGCTCTCTCCTGCTAATGAGCCTCAGTCTTCAACTTAAGCTCTTCCCCGTCTGGCGATTGATGCAAAGACACACTCCAATGACATGTTGCGTCCCATGCTAGGGAGCACACGGCAGCACTGTTCGACTCTGGTGAGGAAGCCGCGGCAGAGCCTTTCACAGAATGTGATGGGAAAATATGCCGTGGTAATCTCTTGCAGTGTTGAACCTGCAGATCCTATGATCACCTCAGGCCAGCTTCCAGTGTGTCACAGCAGTTCTGTCCAGTCCCAGCCGCCACCTGCAGTGTCTTCATCAACCTTGGTCTCAACATGTCTCAACTCTGTCTTGCGCCCACCGGATGGACGGGGGGAGGCAAGGTTTTGTCGCGCCATGTTGCGTCATCACTGGGCGTTGAATATCACGAGCTTCACAACTTTTCTGGTCTTGAAACTGTTCAATGAAAGTGGGAAGCCCCACAAGAGGCGAAGCGCTCGATGGAAGGTCTGGCCTCACGCCAAGGTCGTGAGGTTGCCCTCCATGCAAATAATTCTGAAAAAAGGCTAACTTAAACACCGAATCCAGGTTAAAGAAAACCGAATCACCTGAGCAGCTGTAGGCTTTCTGATGCGTTGTCGGCTGTGAGTGATCCAGGAGATGGTTTATTGAAACGTGGCATCGGCTTGCAAAAACACCCTAGAGGCCTTGGTGAAGGCTCTAGCCATTGGTTATGGTTATGCTCCCCGCGTGTGAATGTCAATACCCTGGGCTTATCACGGCCATCTGCAAAGCGACCTTAGCAATGTTGGCACAAAGTGCCCTACCCTAATCGGGGACTGTTTGGTTAGCAAACATACAGAATCCCCAAGCGACCACAAAATAGCTTGAAAATCTACCAGGGTGTCCTATAATTAGTTTCACTCCCCAAAATCACTGTATAGAACTGTATACAAGCTCCTTGGTTGTAAATCACTGTATTTACTATGTTATTATGCAAGACTGTATTTAACATCCTTGTTTATAATAAACAACTGATTTGGCCCAAAAGGAGAATACCACGGCCTCCAACTAAATCTCTTGTAGTTTACACATACACTGCTTGACTGTAGGGATCTTCTATGATTTTCTTATGCAACTGACGTGTGTCGCATGTGCAGCCTGCATGGCCCATTTAATGGGGCAGGTGCACGCGAAAATGACTGGGTCGGTTTTCCGACTTTCTTCGAAGGCTTTCATCTTCGGAAACAGCTTTCGTCATGCCCGTCCAGCAGAATCGAAGTGAACAATGGGCTCCAACTTCTTATTTTTACATATTTTGACTATTGCTAGTCGACTTAGTCATTGTGAACATCTGTGGCGTTTCTTGATGAAAGCAAAGTTCTGGTGCAATAACCTGCAAGCTGGCTAAAAGTCATGCAAGCCACACGATCTCAAGGAGCATTCCTTGGTGGCTGTGCTGGCTTCTTCCCGAAGCATAGATGCCAGCCCCCTACCTAATCTGCAATTTATTGATCCTTATTTCAGCAAACTGCTCTGGCTGTAGTAGTGTGGATTTGTCACTGCATACATGTCAAGGCAATACATATCCCATGCCATTCCATAGCTTCTGGAACAAAAGTCTGCATGTCCAAGGCTTGACTATACCAGCCTGTTGACACCAGTTGAGCTCGGCCACCTGAGTGCTGTCTCATGCACCGTCTTCCGGGCCTGCCAAGTCCGACCTGGGTGGCTCTCTTCGGTTGCTCAGTGGGGTGACAGCGGTGGGACAGCCATGGGGCACCCGACCTTGCATCCTCAAGTCGAACTTGACCATGACATGGCCTGGCAAGTCTTTGACTTGAAGTTCTCACGCCACGTAAAGAAAACATAAGAAAACATGCTCTGAGGGTCCTCCAGCACTACTTAAGCCATGTGGTGTGGTTTGTTGGACCTGGAGTGCATACCACATGGTCAACATGCTTGACTGCACTTCTTGCCAACCCTATCACACCTGCCGGCCCAACAGTCTGCAGCTGCAGAATCTCTTCAGCTCTTCGAGTAGTGTTGCAGAAGACTTCCTCAGCATGTTTGCCAAAGCCACCCGATATGATCGATGCGCAGAGTCCTACATATATGTGTTTTTTTGGTGGGGGGTCAACTGGATGGATCTGGATGGGCTGGGCTTTTGGACACTCCAGGACCGGGAAAAACGTTCAAAGTATCTTGGGTCATCGACCTGTTGAAGTTGATATACAGTAAATTTCTCAAGTAGAGGACAAACCTTGGCGCTGCAGCATGCTGGTCTGCCAGCAAATGATTCAAATGCCTTGATTCATGGCAGGCACAACAGTTTAAAGAACGGGGAGAGGAGAGTAGGTGGCACCTCTGCGCTCAAGATTAGCTCCAATTGAGGGGGGGTAGATGGCACAACGATTTGTGAGGGTGGTGACTTGGCTCCATCCGTTTCTACTAGCTTCTTGTTACTACTAGTAAGGCACTTGTTACTAGAAGCGATGCACTTGTTCCTAGTAGCTTATTGTTTCTAATAGCTTCTTGTTACTACTAGTAAGGCACAGTATATAGATTGCACAAGAAAAATGACCTCTCATCGGTAGTGCATCTTGGGAGGTACATTTCTACCTTCAATGTTGATGGCGCAACCAACGTTTGGTGACCATTGACCATCTACTTTCAGACCGGAGTAGTTGATTTTCTTTTCATTTGGCAACAAACTGCTGCAGTGGCCAAGACTCGCCAGCCCCAGAGCCCTGAGGTAAATAACAGTCAGGATCAAGTTCAAGATCATCCTTACATGCGCTTACATGGCTTACATGTGGTGATGGGGCAAAATGCACAGCTGATATGCAACTTTGCTTGATGTGCTGTTGAAATCCAACGCCTCCCAAACCCAACCAATGTACAAATCTCTGCAGGTAACAACGGTCAATGATGCCAATGTTTATCCTTGTCGATATTATCTACCGTTGGCACCTGACGGCCACCCTGTCAGTTCTAGGATGCTCCAGAAAATCCAAAAAAAGAGCAAAATTGCTACACTCTGCAGAACCGTTGGGTGATTCTGCGACCCTTTGGGACAAATTGCTCTCTGATCCCCAAAAAACGATACAAAACGCAGCGCGCTGCGTGTAATGAACTGCCTCCGGGCCCACAACACAAAGCCATGCAATATCCTCTATATAAGTAAAGCTTGCTTGCTTGATTGGAGGACGGATCTCGCTTGATGAGGAGAGTCTTGAGCAGCAATCAATAAACCCATTATTGTCCAACTTTGGCCAAGCAACCTCTGAATCCAAGGACTCCGTCTCTGTCTGCGTTTCCGAGCTTTCCTCTGCACCTGGGAAAATTGGCGGCTATCCATGTGGAACGCCGAACAGTCCAGAAAAACAGTGCGGCGATGGACAGGACATATCGCACGAGTAAGGAGAAAACAAAAAAACGGGTCAGGAGGTTTCAAGGATAGGAAGGTCGTTCTTCAAGGGACCAAAAACGAAACAAAGCGATTCAAACAACAGTAAATCCTTGGGCATAGAGTGGCAGGGTATGGGGTAGGGTAGGGTAGCGTAAGGTAGGCTTGTGTAGCTTGCGGTCGTTGTGTTGCACACTGTGGGCTTCAACATGCACCTGAGCCCCGCCTGCAATGTTGATTTTGTGGCGGAGGGGAGGCTGGGGGGATTCCTTCCTTCCTTTCTCTGCTGTTTTTAATTCTTTCGTAAAAAAATCTGTCCGTCTTGTTGTTGGTTCCTTTGTGTTGGTTCTCAGCCCTTTTGGGGGGTTAATGTGCCAGTTTAACACAAAAAGGTGCTCGCCCCGCAGACCTATTCCGCTGTATCTAGGCACTACACTCATATACCGATACCATGCATCTTGTACACTTCGAGATACATATTATCTACTTTCGCTAGTGACAATCCAAGTTGTAGTAAACGTAAACTTGCACGCCTATCCTCTCTTGGCCTTCAGAATCGAAATGCCAAGAATGCAGGATCATGACGTGAGAGTGAAAAATGACATGTGGGCCCCAACGGCTATAGGCATTGTCCAACCTTGCTCAACATTGCCAAGGGACCTGGGCTATAGGCCAACGAGATGCCTGAACCTCCATCGAAGCGGTAGTAAACGTAGGAAGTGCCTTGAACCTTCAAAAACGCATGACGTTGGCAGGTCCCGGTGACGTTGTTTCACGCCCAGCGTTTTTCGCCAAGCATGGCATTCTCACCGCAGAAAGAGTTCTTTTGCCACACGGTTGTTGTTGTTTTTCACCAAGCGTTGTCCTAGAAAGTTATTGGCACATATTTCACTGCAAGTTGAACAGCATGACTTTCTTGCCTTCATCTGCACTTTCTCACCGTCGGCTGAGTTCAAAGATTGAAGCTCATGAGGAGTGTTCCTGGCACGCGGCATCAAAAGCCTCCTGAAATCCCTAGAGACCTCGGCAATTCTGACAGAAAGGTTCGTCATTTTCATAGACCCTCCTACCCTGTTTTCAGCTCCAAGTGCTGCAAGGCTGCATGATGTCCAACAAGTAGTTCTGGCCATTGAGCCTAACGATGTTCCTCGAATCACCCAGCAACCACTGACCGCTCTTGAAACCACAAGACAAGAGAGTGCGTGTAAGACATGCAACTTATGTAAACCTGTCAGGCCCATTGAAATATGGACAACAAACCTACAGTATACCGATGCCTCTTATGCCCGCTGAACTTCAGCCCGCTGGAATTATCAAATAACCGTGCAACAAAAATGTCGGAAGCTATTTCTCTCTCCGTCACCCTGACACGTGTTCCCAATGAAACTGCTAGGAGAGCGATGGCCTCGGTATTTCTTGCGACCCAAGACATGAGAAGAAGCTACTAGGGGCTCCTGTTGGCCTTACTGCTAGGAGTAAGAAGCTACTAGGAGCAAAGGGCATCGCTACTAGTAACAAGTGCATCGCTTCTAGTAACAAGTGCCTTACTAGTAGTAACAAGAAGCTACTAGGAGCAAAGGGCATCGCTACTAGGAGCAAGGACGCTACTAGTAACAAGTGCATCGCTTCTAGCAACAAGTGCCTTACTAGTAGTAACAAGAAGCTACTAGGAGCAAAGGGCATCGCTGGAGCAAGGACGCTACTCCTTTGTGGGACGACATTGGACCGGTCCCAGCGGCCAGGCGTGATCTGCGAAGCCGTTGTCTCGACGAAACTGGGAGACCTCAGTGTCATGTCGGCGACGATGGGGCAAAGGGTCAAACGATTGACTATCAGGAACATGGCAAAACTATATCTATCCCACAACTCATCCGTATGGTTGGGACACTTGGTCAGTTACAATAGTTATATAAATCTAGTGACATCTGGTGTATATGAGCTGATCAGCTGATCTATCCCTTTGATAACACTGGTCATATCACCCAGGGTCATCACCTGGTGACCACAAGACAAGACTGCAGCTTTGGGATATTCATGCTCGATGGATTCACGTCGGCTTCCCAGCTTGCACAAACTCAGTAAGGGTCTAATGCGGCGCTTCAAATACTTGACTCTCCAATACCAACACGACTTAAGATTTGAAGCGGTGTGCACCATGCTGCCAGGTTGCATTCTCACAATCATTTGGCACGATAACTCCAGAGATAGCTGCACTTTCGCAAACCTGGCACATTGGAGGGAACAGCTGCAAATAAAAAGTTCAGGGCACCCTTCGGAGCATAAATGGATGCAGCATTGTCAAACCATGTAAGCCTCCAGTGCCAGTCACCATCATATATTCTGTACTTTTGGCGCCTGCAAGATGTCAGTCAGCCATCGCTCAAAGAGTCGGCGATGGCCAAGCTTGGCCACTCCCATATCATTGAAAAATCTCTCATCAAAGCAAAGGTTACCATCGTGGTACAAAGTTGTAGACAAGTAAACATCCAAGAGCTGACGTGGTGAGTCAAAGTGCTGTACCATAATTTCGGCATAGGACCTGAGAAATCCTTGGCTATCAACCTCGAGCAGCCATGCTGAGATGGTGTTCGGCAAACCTAATCCCTGGAGCTTTGCCAGAGACGTGACATTAACGGCAGCGCCGCTGGTCTGAACTGCACCCTCTGGTGATATGGTCTCCTCTGCGTGTTGAGGGTCCTCCGGTCGCATGACCGAGCTGGTAGCTGTCCTTGAGCAGGTCTCGGTCGCATGCTCAGGCCTCTCAAAATGTAGCTCTTCATGCTCATCATCAGATTGGTCGGCAGGAGTGCACTGTGAATTTGATGCATTGGAATGCATTGGAAACCCATCAAACCAGGAACTTAAACCATCCTGATCTTGATCCCGTGAAAATGCCTGAAAGGGTCCAAGAACTTCGAATTTCTCTCGCCACGAAATGCGAGCGTTATAATTTCGCAGCCAACTCGTGTACCACTTCGGTAGCGCTGGATCTGTCAAATCAGCCGGGAATGGCGTGTGTTCCGGTTCATACTCACAAATTCCTCCGTGCAAAGGCATGAAGCACTCCTTGCAGCAGTTCGTGAGGTCCACATCCACTGGCATCAGGCACAGCCATGCGCAGCCACGAGGCTGGCGATGTAGAAGTCAAAGATTGGCCACATAAAGGCTGTAAAAGGTCTGATCTCATGGACACTGGAGACAAGGTTTGTTTGGACAATAAATCTTGAGCACTATCTTGAGGGCATTGGGCATGTTGGAGGGTCCTCAAAGCCATTTCAATGTGTCTTTATATCACCTATAAATCACTCTCCTGAGCCCAAATGAATGCGTTGAATTAGTCGTATATACACGTTCCATATGTATATAGTTGGAGGGTGGTCGTTGTACTGATTGGAAGTCTGAACTAAAACGGGGCGGCAAAACCTTCAATCTGCGCACCACGTACTTGAAGAGCAAAGACCGATGCCGGCACATGCCAGAGCCCAGAAAACCAGCCTTGGTTACCAGCGGCATTCCTCGATCACATTCGATGACCGTGGTTGTGGCTGGTGGCCTTTGAAGAGTCCCAGTCAAACCCGAGCTGCCCCCCGTTCATCATACATGCTGGACTTGAACTTCAACATTGACGATTGAAGACTTCCTTTCAAGCAAGCATACTGAACCACCGTCTAGTAAAAGAATCCTCTGTCAGGCAAGCTCGTGTTGTTGCAGCATACCTTGAGACACCCTCCAGCGTCTCCAGCAAAGGCTTCAATCAGCCTTTTTTTGGTGCAATATAATATACAATAGCCACCATGGTCCAGGAAGAGCTACAGACAAGCTTTCCAAATTGTACATGCTGAGCCGCAGTTGCACCGGACATCCTCAGTGGCGTGTTCGTGCTTGAGACGACGAATGAGATTCATCCGATGCTCTGATGGGTCGTTCGAACATGCACTTTGGCCTGTCCACTCCGAACCCTGCTCTCCCTCCGCCTCTTCCAACAAATCCCACCCGCGGGCCCCTGCACAGCACTACACAACTGCAAATTCCTGCAGTCACACGCCTCTAGAGTCCAGTCATTAATCCAGTCTAGTTATATAATATTTGCCCAGATTCAGCTCACCGATGAGGAGGGAATCTCCCTGCCGTAGGTTCAGGTCAACAATACGTTTCTGAAAAGCTTCAGGCACCTCAGACATCACCCGAGGTGGTTGCAAGGAGTCCAAGGGTCATTGCAAGCAATAGTGGGCATACTTACAGAACTTATGCATGATATGGCATGGCATAATAGCACAATAGTTAAGTGCCAAGAATATATAGTCGTCCTATACGCCCAATTCAGCCAGAGCAAATGACTGCCCACGCCTGGCCTTGCGCCCCAATCCACCAAAGGCCCTCTGGATCATGTCACTGACCTGACACACCCTTAATCTCACTCAGCCATTGATGCAGTTCATGTCTGATTAATTTTACTGTAAGACCTGTAAGTGCCTTTACTTTTGTTGCGGCATTCATTCACCACTAGAGTCAGGTGCTCTGAGGCAACCTGCAGTGACCTTCCTCCACTACTGGCGTTTGCACTGTGATGGAGTGGCTGTTTTGTCCCGTCTGGGTTGACAGCGTTCACTGCTGCAAGTGCCATCTCATGCTATATCTGATTGCCTGAAAGTATCCAAAGATATCCAAAGTCTTTTTTTTAATTTAGTTGACTGCTTCACGGTCGTGCCTCTCCCTGTCAAATTGGCATACAGCTAAGGTCTTTACGTATAGGATGGCGTTGAGCTGGCCCCTCCTCTGACTCAAACCAGCCTGGCAATCTCAGAACTCACCAGAACGGGCCGTAACGGAACTCTGGATTGGATGCCAAACCCAGGGCGTTAACTTCTTTGCTTTGGCGCAAGGCCAGGGCGCCTCCACTTGATCCACAAACTTGTTAAGCAGCTGGTCCGCATGAGCATCAATGACCTAAGCATGGTGGATGCCATGTTCGTGTCAGATCTTCGAGAAAAAGGAAGAAAAAAACAAAACGTGCTACAACGCGTTGTCGCGCGCTTGGTGCAAGGGATCCTGACTTTTGCCAGCCGGCCCAACTAGGGAACAAGTGTCCGGTGGGCACTTGTTCAAGATGTGAACCTGCTGAGGTGAGATTGCGAGACTCGCCAGGCCAGACTCGGCTGTCAAATGCCGGCAGGCAACTGCAAATTAAAGCATAGAACGTCTGGCATTCTCAGGTGCATGACAAAACTCCAATTCTTCGATAGCGTTCTTAACGCGAATGCTTTTCAAAGTTCACCAAGCTGAAGAAAAAGTACTGTGCTTCTAAATGAATCTAAATGTCTTGGCGTGGCCATTCCCATCCGCTTCTGGATGCCACTGAGCTGCCAAAAGCTCCTTGGAGTACCGTGCGGCGAAGCCATCCGGAAGAACGTCATGGAAGTCCAGGCGCCTCAGGACGTGACGCCAGGTGCCTCATCTCTGGATCACGGCGCCAGGATCCCATTGGATCCCGATCCCACATGCATATTGAACAAGAAAAGGTCCGTGGGATGAATCTATATGGGGCTTTTTTTTGGTGCCATCATCTGTGGTGCTTCTAGCTACTAGTAGTTATATATACCATGTAATATACCCTTGTTACTAGTAGCGATGCCCTTGTTGCTAGTAGCTTCTTGTTCGTAGTTGAAGAACTGACAAGAAGAATGGTGGAAATTAGTGTTCCCCTTCCATGTTCCAGCGTTGTCGTAGTGCCAAGCATGTTCCAATCAACTACCGGTTCCATGCTATCAAGATCTATCAAGGGTGTCTTAAACATGTTCGAGATGAAAAAGGCTTCGTTTGACGTCGGTCTTCGGACCCCCCTAACATCTGACCGCCACAAATTCCCCAACCAAGCTGCCCTTCTTGCTGCCACTTCAGGCTGACCGGAGACATCATGACCTCTGGCAATCATCCTTCTTCCTCTTCACTTGGTGGGATGTCACGAAAACCCACAGGATCGTTGGTTTGCAAAGCCTGCTGCATGTTCTGTTTTAGAATTTGACAAGAGGTCCCAAGTCTGGGGGGGTTGCCAAACAGTTGAAGACTTGACGATAATCAAACTGCAGCAGCACCAGGAGCTGATTTCTGAAGAAAGTTCATCCACTGCGGTTGTCCAATCAACAATTCAAGGTCTGAGGTCTGCATGCAAAATTGAGTCCCTGCTGTTGTGGTCAACTTTACGGCAGGCTTTTGCGGGTAACATTTGGCTGACCTCGCATGCAAGAACCTCCCACACCCACAAGCCTTCTGTTCAACTGATGGTCGTTGCTTGAACAGCTTGCCAGCAGCCTTTCACAAAAATGCAAAGACTCGAAAAGAAGCAGCACCAGCAACATCAGCAACAGTCCAGAAGGAGCAAATGAACCGTTAACATGTCTCCGCCAGATTGTCGTCAGCGCCTTCTCTCGAATTTTCTTCATGTGCCCGGGTGTATACCGGCCATTCGAGATCATGCTCTCCTTGCATATGGTGAGGAAATGTGAGGAATGCGAATCGTGTCGTGGACAATGTGCAAATTGAACATTGTACATGAGGCTCACCTTGCATACTGTGCATACTGTATGTCACTGTGTCAATGCCATCATGAACCACGAACGCTTCATCTGATCCACAGCGATGAGGGAAACAACCAAATCGACCAAGCATGTCGAAGCTTGAATTCTTCTTGCACTGCACCACCTGGATTGTGTGAATCTGCTAGCATCCAATGAGCCCTGAAATAAACGAGGCTCCATGGAGCAGCTGCTCAGATGCTCGGATAGGCAAGGTGCAACAGCCGCAGCTTTCTGCTGAAGCCAAAGCAGTTTGCGTCATCAGCCAGTGCAGGCTGCAAACAATAATTAATCACTTTTCTACTTTGCGCAAAATGCCAAACACAATCAATTGGAAGAGGACAATGGGTTCTACTGGATTCAATCCATGCAAAGTGTCCATGTGCCTATGCTCTGCCAACTCTCGACTCAGGACCAAACTGGGACCCTGTCAGGGTCTCTGTGCCTGGCATGACGGGGATTGATTGCGAATGTGAGCTGATGATTTCTCTCTCATGTGCATGCCGCGTGCATGCCCAAGTTGCAGGGCTTGGTCGCTAGGTCAACATGATGCTTGCGCCATTCTATGCATTGCTATATATATATGTTATATGAGTACATTGTCATTTGTACATTTGTCAATTGTGTGACATTTAATATCACAGCGGAGTCGAACACCTTCCAGTTCCAGTCTAGCCTTGCATGAAGAATCTGCAATATTCACGTGCTGCCACAACTCGCATCCTGGATCATTCTCTTTTTGAACACTCATCGCTCTAACTACACTTAGACTCATTACTTTAAGCCACATTGCCAGTGGTCCTTCTCCCTGAAAAGAGCTTCTCCAGCTGTTCAATTTGAACCCCCATCTACAGCACAGTACAGTACATTAAATATTTTTTAATTGATGGTTGGACATACTTGGATGCAACACCCCTTAGTAACAATGCGTTCAACATATTTTGGTCGTATCCATGTAAGAAATGCAAAACGTTTCTCAATCTTAAGGAAGACTTGCGGACGCCGGATTTCAGGAAGTCGCTGATGTGACTTGACAATGCCCCCCGTGATGAGACTAATCTTACGGGCTCCGCCGCTCCGCCCCTGCAACCCGTGGTCGCCCAAAATGGTCGGGCAACCACGTGACTCATGACGCATCAATGCAATTGTTGTTCTTGCCAGGTAAGGTATATCATGAAAATTCATGAAACATGATCAAACGCATTCCATTGCTTTATTGTATTTTCTTGAATCTTCTTGACATCCATGACAATGCGGACAGGGTGGAGCACAGAATCGGATTGACGTGCACCAAATTCATTTCAGCCATGCTCTTCACTCACTCCGGCATCGACATGAGCCCGACCCGCAGTAGCTCTTGAGAAGCCAACCAAATCACAGCGCATGTGACGTGTGAGTGTTTCGCAACTTGCACTGACCTGCTTAGATGGATGCCGCTTGATAGGTTTCCGCAAGGCAGTGCAACCTGACAGGGGGAGGGATAGGATTCGAACACTGATTATGGCGTAGGTCAAATGTTTGGAAACTCAATATCAGCAACTTGGGCCCATACAAGGGAGATCACAGATAACATCCCTCATCAGCGGCTCATCGGCGTGACCTTTTGGTGCAGTCCTGCCATGCAAGCTCATGCAGTCCTCATGCGTGCATTCTGAGACTGGCTTTTTGAAGCTTTCATTCAACATGTTTCCACATCATTTCAAGCTCCTGGGATTTTGAGTTCTTCCTGTGGGCATTCACTTCACAGTAGGAACGTTTCCGCTGCGAAGCTGAAGCTTTGGAAGGTGGCACTGGTCGCCTCGGCTGGGCTCGCTTCGCCGCCTTTGCCTTGGATCCGGATGCACGATGCTTTGCCATCGCCTTGAGAGAAGGCTTTTGCAAGGCTTTGGCTTTGGAAGCGTGCTCCCTGGATTTTGCATCCGTTGCTTTCTTAGACTTCGGGCTCTTGGCTTTTGGCGTTCCCTTGGTCCTTGGTGCGCTCTTTCCTCTAGGCACACTCTTGGCCTTCGCTTCCATCTTGGCTCTTGGTGTGCTTTTTGCTTTCGCTTGGGCTTTAGCCTTCGGCTGACACTTTGCCTTGGCTTTGGCCCTGGGATTTGCAGCACACTGGGCCCTTGATTGGGCCTTTGCTTTTGCTTTGGCCTTTGCTTTGGGTATGCTCTTGGCCTTTGGTGCCACCATGGCCTTTGGCATGGCCGGCAAAGCCCTTGCCCTTGTTGCTTGGTCAGCTTTCGGCGCACTTGCTGGCTTTCGCGTCTCCGATGCACACTTTGCATTGGGAGCATCGGCGGGCTGCATCTCTTCGGGCACCGAAGATGTCGGCTGCACCTTGTTGTCTTCCTCGGCAATCTTCGACTCCGAAGACGTCGGCTTGGTTGACCCACCTTAAGGCTGAGACTGAGGGGCACAGCTACGGCTGCACAAAGGCTATGCCGGCTACAAACACATGCAGCACCAGGAAGACTGGACTCTCTGAACCCTTTTGTTGAAGCATTAATGAGTTGAGCTGCTGGGAGTGGCTTGTCTGCCGCTTGCTTTGTGTTTGGCCTCATCGGATCTTTGGTGCGCATGAGCAAAGACCTGGAGCTTGGCACTGGACGGATGTCAAAGTCTGGGCAGTTCTGGCCAGTTTTCAGTTCTTGCCGCTGCGGAAAGGCCATATGTGTGGCATAACGATAGACTCATGTATGATGGGAATTACAGTAATGCAAAAAAAGCCAGAGAACCCAGAACGTTGTGGAGTTACCCCCATGCAAATTGTAAAGTACCCTATGCTTCCCCGTCATGTCCTATTTCATGAAACGAATCGTGCCCACCCTCCGATGCTTCGGGATGGAAAAGAGTGCTCGCTCGAAGGTGCCGAGAAAAATAATAGAACCTCAATGAAACTGTCCAATGCTACCGTACAGTCTACTTCTATGTTCCTTTCCAATATATTGCTTCAGTCAAGTGCTGGAATACGTTGACCTCCCGATTCGCCTCAAAGAGTGCCATCGTCTCTGCAAGACCTTGCGAGCCAGTTGTCGCTGGGAGCGGTCCCGGCATGACATTTGATAGATACCTCCATCCACCATCCCAAGTGCGGGATAGAATGTCCGTACTTGACCTCCGAAGCCAAGCATGCACTTCTGCCTATCGAGTAGCGTTTGCCCATCACCCCATGTTACTCGGGACATCGCATGTTGCTTGACATCAGGGTCCAGGGTCTTCAGGCTTCGGGCTCCCAACAGCCGTGAGCTCAAGCAACGGAACAAGCAAGAGACTCTTCAATCGCACCAGTTGACAAACTGCCTACAGTAAACCAACATATACATATATGTATATTAAACATGTTTATTAAACTACCAGTTGAACAAAACATCAACCAAATGACTAAAAATACCGGCACCACTCGAGGTCCGCACGACTCGTGGTCAATGAGAGATCAGCCACCGCCGGGAGCTCAAAGCACTCGGGCAGAAACTGGTAGGCTTCCCGCAGGGCCTCACAAGCAACCGAACATAGCTAGTAGCTAGTAGTAACAACTGCAATTTTTGCCAGTAACAAGGGCATTACTACTAGTAACAAGGAGCTACCAGTAGCGATGCACTTGTTACTAGATGTTGCTAGTGCTACTGTACTACGATTGAATTCATCAAAGGTCTCAGGGCCAAGATTTTGTGCCTGCTTCATTCACCGAACTTCGCAATGTCGAGCATGGTCAAAAACGTGTCACAAAGCTCTGTGTGGAAGCCACGGCGAAGCCACCGGCTTGCCACACGTGAAACTCCTGGCCTGGATCTTTGCCACTTGGCACTCAAACACCAAAGACCTTCCGTGTGGCTGCGCGGATGCATCGGGGAAGGGATGTGATGTGCTGGTAGGATTTTTTCGAAGGCTTCCCCACTTAGGAGTTGCATTGTTTGGGGTTGATAAATGAATGAGAGCACTTGTGGCGCAGGAGAAACTGTAGAACCCCAAAACGGTCACACAAATACACAAGGAGCCGTTCATCGCCATTCTGACATCACTTCGACGGCACATGCACTTGCTCTTTCGAGGCCAGGGCTTGCTTGCATCATTTGACTTCCTGAGTTGATCGGCTGCGATGTGTCGAGAAGAACGGCTGCAAAACAACCAACCAAGGCCAAGGCCTGCGTAGGACACCTCGCCGTCAGGCAAAACACGAGGGGCTGGCTAAGCAAGGTGTTTAAAGTATATAAATATACATATATTATATATATATGTGCTATAAAAAAATAAGGACAAAACACACACACACACACGTCATATACTCCCAACGAGTAAAAGGTGTCTGCATTGCTTGAGCTCTGCCGTATGCCCAATTTAAAGCTCCGGTCCGGTTGTGATGGAACATGTTCTTATACCTCCACACCTGTCACCTGACTATCCAACTCTCGAACTAGTAATTATATATATATATATATATTTGTTTATAATCCTTTTTGCACCGCGTGCACGTTCCTGACTCATCCTGAGATCTGCACAGTATGGAATCTCCACCGTTTGACCATGACCACGGAGAATTACAAAGCTGTAAGCCTCAGACGTGTGAGTCAGCCAGGTAATTATGGGGAATGCATGCAAATCATGCCAATCGCGGGGCGTCCACACCACTTTGAGGGACATGCTCAATGTGGCAGCTGTAGCAAGGACGCTATTAGGTGGAGGCCATCGCAAGTAGATTGGAGGCCATCGCAAAGAGGTTGGAGGCCATCGCTAGTAGAAACACGAAGCTACTACTGCAATAGGCTAGGATGATATTAGAAATAATAAAAGGACGACTTTGGCCGGGCAGCCGAGACCACAACAGCTTTGGGCACCAGCTGCACCGAGGCGATCTGGACTTTACAATCGCAAAGCGTCACAACCGGATGCTTGCTTCGGCCTGTCTGTTCCAAACATGAGCGAACTGCAACAGCTGATCTTCACTTCACGATTCAGCACAACATGTGAGCTTCCAAACTCCTAGTAAGGCTTGACTGTTAAGGAGATGACCTTTTTAAAACTCAATCATCTGAGAGTGATGCTCACTTCTTCCAGCGCGATATCGCATCCCCATTCCAGGAGCTGCCTGGATCACTCAGTGATCTTATCATTCTTATTATTATTGGTGGAGGAACACAGTGGCGTGATCCAGGGACAAATGCGGCACCCCATGGTAGGCCCACAAGTTTGCGACTCAGCTGAATCGCGGAATGGCATCAAATTTTGTGTGGCCCATCTGCCGCCAAACAGGCGTGGCTCAATTGCAGGCAGGTCACTGT